ATAAAGTAGGAGGGGAGGGAAGGAGAGATACAGAGTGAGGGTAAAAAACATTGGATGAAAAAGTTAAAAGGAAATGGAAATTGTTTAACGTATAGGAAAAATTTCAATCGATTGCCAGTTATAGAACTTGAATTTACGTTTAACTACAGGAAGTTTCTTTAGTTGATTAAATAATAATTGAAGAGAAACTTGTCTTTGAAGTTTCTTTAGTTGATTAAATAAGATTTAAAGAGAAACTTGTCTTTGATTTTTTTCGTTTTTTCGTGGGTTTAATAAGAATTAAAGAAAAACTTGTCTTTGAAGTTTCTTTAGTAGATTAAATGAAAATTAAAACGAAACTTGTCTTTGAAGTTTCTTTAGTTGATCAAATAAGAATTAAAGAGAAAATTGTCTTTGAAGTTTCTTTAGTTGATTAAATAAGACTTAAAGAGAAACGTCTGTGAAGTTTCCTTGGTTGATTAAATAAGAATGAAAGAGAAACTGTCTTTGAAGTTTCTTTAGTAGATTAAATGATAATTAAAGAGAAACTTGTCTTTGAAGTTTCTTTTAGTTGATCAAATAAGAATTAAAGAGAAACTTGTCTTTGTTCCTTCAGATCTAGGAGGGCAGAACCTCACTTCTCTCCCCTCCACAGCTCGCCGATCATGCCCCGCCAGGAGCCGTTGGAGAAGTCCCCCTACCACTGATCCTCAGGCATCTCGTAGACCGTGTAGGTGAAGTTCAGCCTCGAGCCGATTTCCTGCAGCATGTAGATCCCGATGCCTGTGGTCTCCTCGAGGGCGTCCTGCGGCACCAGGTACGGGAAGTCGTCGACCCAGCTCGCCAGGTGGAGGTTGACGCCGTGGAAGCTGTCGAAGCGGTCGGGGAAGACGTCACCGAACCGCAGCTGCGAGAAGTCCGGGTACGCGTGGCCGATGTAGTCGATCTTGTCTCCGAAGACGTTGTAGGTGTGGACGTCGAAGCGGAAGGCGCCCCTCGTGACCCGGGCTTGGAGGAGCGTGAGGAAGGGGCTGTGGTTGAGGGCGCGGTGGGGGAGGAGGTGGTCGGCGTCCTCGCTGGTGTTGAGGTTGAGCAGCAGCAGGAACGCGGGGGTCCAGCTCAGCTCGGGGACCTCCTCGGCGAAGGCAAGCACGACCTCGACCGAGCTGAACAGGACCACGTGGACGAAACACTCGTCGTGGTAGCTCCTGAGCCAGTCGGCCTTGAGCAGGTCGTCCTCGGACAGATCCACAACGACGGCCGGGGAGTGGTCCTTCGCGAAGAACTCCCGGAGGAGATCCTTAGCCGGAAATTTCGAATCGTGGAAGAAAACGGGGATCTTGTGTCCTAAAACTTTCGATGTGAGGACGCGCATCAGCTGCAACGAGGGTCCTGCCGCATTCCCATTACCCCTAAGGACACTCCGCTTCTCTCTGCGACCTCCATGCTCTCCGGGCTGCTCCTCAACGTCAGATAGGATCCCCCTCTTCGCCCTAAGACAGTGAGGACTGTTCGGGATATCCTTGCACGTGTATTGCCCGTAGGATCGATGCCCAGCGTCTGCCTCCGTTGTGCCAGTCCTTCCTACTCCATTCACAGAGTCTTTAGGACAAGGAATGTTCCTCGCCCCGCTAATAGAAGCCACGGCTATTATAGTCACCAAAAGGACCGACGGAAGGACTCCCCGTCTCATCTGCGGAGAAATTGTCACGTTATACAACAAAACATTACAGAAAATACAATTAAAGCAAAAATGCATAAAAAAAATAATTCATTGTTATGCTTCTTTTTCTATTATAACTGACATTTCAAAACAAATCTACAAATGTTCGTAATAATCGTTAGAATAGAACACAATAACATGTTCCCCCTTATACCTTAGTAGAAGAGATTTAAGAGGTTCCCGACTGCTGACAACAAAAAGAAAGTTCTGGCAAATCCTGCTTCATCTCCGCTTTTATATCCCGCGCCAAAATGCAGGATCACGTGACTTCATAGGCGTCTGCGTGGCGGTTTGGGATTCAGGAATTTCTAGGGGTACGTGGTTATGCCCTTTTTTATTAATTTATTATTTTTTTTCAAAAGCTTTATTTACCTATTATTGATTTCTTTTATTGACTTTTTCTAATGGTACTTGGTTATGTTTTTTTTTTCAAGTTTTTTTTTCACTATTGCTGTTTCTTTTAATGATTTTTCTTATTCTCGTCATTATCATATCATCACCTGGTATCATTATTTGTCGTTAAATATTCATTACTCAGTTATTGATATTGATTGCGCAATTATGACCATAAGGATTATTTATATAAAGTTCTTATTCATTTATCATTAACTTCTTTATCATATATGTTCGTAATTCATTGTTATGTTTGAATGTCATGTCCAGCTACTTTGAAATATATAATTACAACCGATAACAATTGCAGTAAAACAAACAAATACAAAACATCCTAGTTTACGTAAATTATTTCTGTCATTACAAACGATACCAATATATATTTTGTATTTAGCTCACGAAATGATTTCAAAAAGTGAAAATACAGTTCATTTTAGAGATAACGAGTATGACGCATAACATATTATGCTATTGTATGATGTCAGAATACATAAGATTTCGTCATTATCGTCATCATCATAACTAACACGATTAAAAACTGACATGATTAATTAACGGAAACCTGTAAGTATATGTCAAGATCCAAATAAAAATGTTGTATAGGTTCAGTGCGTATAATAAGAACTTTAATATATATATTATCTCGGTACCAAACTTCAAATAACTGATTGATGTTGAAGATCTGCATTAGGCTTTACAGATAAACATTATATTTATTTTCGAAAAGAAAAAATAAAGAAAAAGGCAACAAAACATTGTATACTTTATTTTCAAAAAAAAAAGAAAAGAAAAAAAAAACAAAGAAGCTTCCAAAATACATTTCAAATTAATCACCTTCCCCGGATTTTCAAAACCACAAACCGCCATCATATTCCAGAGAAAAAATATATAAGCTCGTTGGCCTCTCGAATCAGACGGAGAAATATGACGAAAAAGTAATTAATTAATCATTCTTAAGCCACGAGAACCGAAGGCGGGAGGCGGGAGGGCGTGGGAGGTGGACCAGGTGTTGGGCGGGAACAGAGGAACCGAAATTTGGAGGAACAAAAAGAGAGAGAGAGAGAAGAGAGAGAGAGAGAGAGAGAGAGAGAGAGAGAGAGAGAGAGAGAGAGAGAGAGAGAGAGACAGAGAGAGAGAGAGAGAGAGAGAGAGAGAGAGAGAGAGAAGAGAAGAGACAGAGAAGAGAGAACGAGAAGAGAAAGAGAAAGAGACGAAGAGAAGGAGAAGAAAGCGAATGAGAATGAGAAAGAAGAGAAGGGAAGAAGAAGAGGAAGAAAAGAAGAAGAAAGAAGAAGAAAAGAAAAAAAAAAGAAAAATATAAATACGGAGATATAAAATCCGTTGAAGAATAGTCATTTGCTTAATTTTAAGGTTAGTTTTAAGGTTATCTTCATATGGAGATTCATTTTATTATTCTCGTTTCGACCTCGTGATATTTGGCTTCTTCCTGTTATAATTATTCCCCTGAAACGGAATTTACGTGGATGAATATTAAGAAAAAAAAATTATGAATGGTCTATCAGTTAGTCGGTTTGTCAATTTGTAAAGGTATTTTTGTGTTGATTCTTACCTTATTATTTATCTTTTTGACTTTCTGGTGTCTGTTTTTATCATATTTTTATCATCACACACAAAAAACAGACACAGCAGACACAACACACAACACACACACACAACACACACACACAGACACAAACACACACACACACACACAACACAACACAGCACACACACACACACACAACACACACACACAAACAAACACACACACACACAGACAAACACACACACAACACACACACACACACAACAAACACACACACACACACACACAAACACACGACACACAGCAAACACACACACACACACACACACACACACACACAGACAAACACACACACACACACAGACAAACACACACACAGACACACACACACACACAGACAAACACACATACACAGACAAAACACAACACTATACATAGACATATTTATATATATATATATAATATATATATATTATATTATACATGTATGTATGTATATATATATAATATATATATATATATATATATATATATATATATATATGTATATATATATGTATGTATGTATATGTAGTATGTATATATATGTATATATATATGTATATATATATATATATATATATATATATATATATATATATATATATATAATATATATATATATATATATATATATATATATATATATCATATATTACTAGATTTTTATGTATTATATCAACATATATTATATATATATATATATATATATATATATATATATATATATATATATATATATTAATATATATATTATATATATATATATATATATATATATATATATATATATATATCATATATATAATATATATATATATATATATATATATATATATATATATATATATGTATATATATATATATATATACACAGAAAAAATCTTGAAAAGGTATTTTAAAGATAATCCTGACCCAGTGAGACCATTATTCACCATGGAAAGGCTTTTCCAATGGTTGTATGGTAGATGCAATGGTAGTTCAAGCGAGCTCCACATTCCATTGAAGCTACAGAGTGTGGTGTTGATCCCATGGAGGGGATAAGCCTTTAGTGTTCTACAAGGCACTATAGACCCTTCGTCTCGGGGACATAAGGGTGATAATCTACTGCCCTCGTCAACAAAGGCGCCACTATGCTCAGCGCCAGGTCAGCAGGGTCAGGAGAGGCCAGGGCGCCGGTGTGGCACTCGAGCCCCAGTTCAGCGCTGACCGAGATCGAGTGTGGTCGACGAATCGCACTCTTCCTGGTGAATTTCTTAGTCTTAAAAAAAACTGCACCGAATTCCGTGTGAAGGAGAAGTGACATTGAAGAGGTCTGCTTTCATTTCGGATCTCCAAGCGGAGGATTCTACTCTTCAAGAGAGTAGGCCTATTCATCTCTATATAAGTAAGTAAACCGTATTAAATGTGTCGAGTTTATTTCTTGTGTTTATAATAACCATTTGAAGTAAAACTGTCAAAGTGAGTCATGTGAGTCCATCTAATATATCATATCTACTTAAGTCAGTATTAAAAGTGATGAAAAATAGTATAGCAACACTCTAAATGTTGATATGTCACTGGTGGTGGCAACTATTGGGATAAACACAGTGTTTATTAATATATAATTCATTTTTTTTCCCAGAAATCATTCTCAGAGGAGCAGCTCTGCACACGGCGAGCACCAAAGGGGAATTGTGTGTTCGTGTGTGCGTGAGTAGGTGACGTCACAAGAGCGAGCGAGATCGTGATTGGTCCACAAGAGGGATCGAGTGAAGCTCATTGGCTCGCGTGAGAAAGAGGAAAGAAAACGGAGCGTGAGTTGCGCAGACGCGTGAGGGGAACGTGACGTCACAGAAAAGGGAGGAGTTTCTCGACGTCACAGAAAGGGGAGGAGTTTCTCAACGTCACAGAAAGGGGAGGAGTTTCTCACTCAGAGTGGTTACTGTAGAGTGAAGATCTCTGTGGCAAGGAATATAATTACTATTTTATGCTGATTGAGCTTATGAATGCATGAACTCTTTTAATTAAAGATTTTAATTTTGATTATATACTCCTCAAGTATAAGTATTTGATTGTCTCTGTATAAGTCTTAAATGCATACAATTCAGTAATCCTTTTTAGTGATTTTAGATTGATATTAGGCTATTAATTAAGTTTTCTTGTAAGTGCTAGTGTATAAAGTAAGAAAGTTTTACTAACATAACACAACAAAACTTTTCGACCATTTCATGATACATATATCTGTTATCACTTTGATTTTGGCTTCCTCAATTGGTTTAAAGGTAATAATTTAATTCCCCCAATATCGTGACAGATTTTTTTCATCAGTTTTAGTGTGAATAATAGGGTATTATACATTTTGAAAATTTAAATATCTGTGTAGTACTGGTGTTAAGTTACTTTGGATAAAGAAGAAGAGAGAGAGAGAGGAAAAGTGACTATAAAAAGAAGAGAAAAAGACGAAAAGTGATTCTATTAAAGAGGAGAGAGACGATAAAACGCGAGAGAGTTGCGAGGGCCGTTGGCTCGACTCTCCTTGTCGTTTCAAGTGAGAATTTACAAGTCAGGCTGCGAGGGCCGGGTGCCTGGCTGACACTTGAAATTCCAAGAAAGTAATTGTGACTCGGAAGTAACAAGACAATTGAACTAAAAGGAAAAAGGATCCCTAGGATATTAAAAACAACAACAAAAAACACAGTACTACCAACCAGTGTTAAGTGTGCATGTCCTAGGAAGACAGCAATAGAGGGGAACGGAGAACAGTGAATTAGGTAAAACTGCGGATCCCGAGCCAGGAAATTCTGAAACTCGCGGAGAATTTACCGATACTTCCAGTTCGGACGTCCTTCGAGAACCTTTCACGTGGGCAGAGGCTGTCGTCGACATGGGGCAAGAACCTAATCAACGCCAGACTACCGACACGAATCTGAGAAGGGAAGTAGAACGACTGATGGCGGTAGTGACAAGCCTTCGTCAGCAGGTCGCTCAGCTTAGGGCACCAGACCCAGCGGGAGGCGTGGTAAGGCCTGTAGAAGTGGTGCTAAGAAGCAGTTGTATTCCCATGTTCAAGGGGAAGGAGGATGAGCTATTGGGAGGCGAGTGGATTGCCCGGGTGGAGTCCGAGATTGAGCGGATGGGACTCACGGGAGACCGAGAGAAGATAAATTTCGCCTTAAGTCACATCCATCCAGAAGAGGGGAATGCAAGGGTGATCGCCCAGGTGAACCCATCCCGTTGCGCTTGGGAGGACTTCAAGGGGGCCATTCTGGCCATATTCTCCCAAAGGACGAAATTTTGGGATGAATGCCTAAGAGAGGCCGAGCGATATCAGGACGAGTCCTTTGAGGAGTGGTTGCACAGCGCGAAAGCTCTCCGAATGAATTTTACTCTCTTATGGGTATGGCCTTTCCCTGAAGATGCATTATTCTCCATAACCATGAGGTGTTTGGCAGCAACTATGGTTGGCTCTGCTTTGGACAAATACAGAATTGGAGATGAGTGGGATGTACAGAAGTTAAAAACCCTCCCATACTCACAAATCATAAAAGATTACAGGGGATGGGTGGAGAAAAACAAGGAGAAGGATGAGCAGTTTCAATCAACTCTGCGTCCCAGGTTTGAAGCCACTACAGCAGTGGCAAGGGGGAAGAGAGTGCCATCGACCAGGGCCAAACGCAAGAACCCGGCGAAGATCAAATGTTTCTTCTGTGAAGAACGTGGTCACATAGTCCAAGATTGCCCGCAGAAGAAAAATTACGGCACTGGTTAAGAGTCGAGAAACTCTTCGGGTCTGTCCTAGGGGGATGGCAACAAAAAGGAATAAAAGTAGATGTGTATGTACGGGAAGCTGAACGCCAGAATTATTCCCAGATACATGATGACTAAGGTAAAGGTACCTAAAGTCAAAAGTATTTTACTGCAGTTTGGGACTCCGGGGCGAGCCCAGCATTGGTTTAATATTCTATGAGCAGGGAGCAGGAGGAGGTGAAAGGGTCCGTGGAACCTTCCTTTGCTTGTACCACAGGAATTGCTCGTAAGTGGAATACTTGAAGGAGAGCCGGTGAAGGCACTAGGCCCAGATGACCTTCAGGATGGGAGGAAAGGTATTCTCTCACAGGTGCATCGTATTTCAGGATGAGGTCATTAACTTTCCAGGGAATTGTGATGTTACTAGTAGATTTTGACAAATGGAGAAATTGTCAAGGATCTAAAGTCCTGCAGAAAGGTATGATAATCCATGAGGGACACAAACCGGTTCAGTCACCTCAGGTGGTAGGGTGCCACCAGATGAATAAGAGTCTGGAGGAGCTAAGGATCTAAGGAAGATTTAACAGAGGATGAAATTGACTCTAAATGAATATGCAGTGGTTTCACTGGAAACAATTACTGTTCCTCCAGGGAAAGCAGCTGTATTGATAGGATGTCAGAAGAAAATGTTGAAAAATGGAGGATGGAACTCCAATAATGGTTAGAGGAACTCCATTACAGGAGGATTGTGTTACAATTCCTGTTATATGCAAAACAGAGAATAAGGTGAAACTCCCAGCTTGTAACTGGGGTAGAATACCACTACTAATCCGCCAAAAATGGAGGATAGCACACGCATTCCCTATGCAAGAGATGGATATGGAACCGTTTGGGAATTTAGACAAGGGTCTTAATGTAAAACAGAGTAATGGCTAAGTTAATAGTAAATGCTGCAATTACAGAAAGACCAGAGAATGGGGATCAAGATGATTACCCATTGGAACAGGCACTTCAGTTCGACCCTCAACATTGAAACCTTAATATGTAAAAGCAGGTCGGTATCCTACTTTCAATGAAGATTGCATTCAGAAATTACTGAAAGAATTAGAGGTGGATAGTTGGGTACTATCTACAAACCAGAGGAATGACAATTGAGTCATCAGGATAGGTGCCTGAGGGAGAGCAGGATGAAGAGGAAGATGGACTGTCCTGATTGTTAGAAGAAATGTTTAGAGAGTAGAGACAAAATTCTCTATATGGACCTGTAATCCATTATCATAAGGATAAGACTGAAATTAACTGAAAGTAGGTTTATCCAAAGGTAGAGATAAACGACCTCTTTACAGAATCAGCCCCAGAATTCGATGAGGGAAGTCGAGGAAGTGCGTTGCGGAACCTCAAAGGAGAGGAAAAGGCTTTGGCTCAAGGTGAAGTCTGGCTGAACATGAATTAGTGTTAATGACCAGAGGTTTCAGAGAGGTCTCAAATGGTGTTCAAGGGAACCAACATTGTGAAAATAAGAGAAAAAGAAGCCTTTTCAAGGTTGGATGACTTCTTTATGTTTGGACCTAAATTCAAGCAAATATCTTGGTATATAAGTTTTTTTATCAGAGATCTAAGGGTAGTTAATAATAATTCAATTCAGTCTAAAGCATGTTTGGGTATGGTTAATGCATCTATTAATGGCCTTGTGAAGGCAATTGCCTGTGTTTGTTATAACCATTAATTAGTAATTAAATTTGTAAAGTTATTTCTTGTGTGTTATAACCATTAATTAGTAATTAAATTTGAAGTTATTTCTTGTGTTTGTTATAACCATTAATTTAGTATTCAATTTGTAAAGCTATTTCTTGTATTTGTTATAACCATTAATTAGTAATTAAATTTGAAGAGTTATTTCTTGTGTTTGTTTTAACCATTAACCATTATGATTAGTGAAAACCTGCAGTTCAAATAAATATTTTTTCCCTTTTTTGTATTTGTACTCTTTATATAAGATATTATATTTCAAATGCCACTAAAACCATTTACACATACAATACATGCCTAAAATTTCAATAGATGAATATAAAGGCCAAGTTATATTCTCAGATACAGTGGCACAGATTTACTTGGTGTCAGATTGTAACACTTGGTAAATCATTTCACAAGCTTTCAGTGTGATAATCATGAAAAGCTATTGGATAATATCAGAAGAATAATTCAGTGTCTAGATAGCATATACTGCACGGACATTTTTGTGAACTACCATCTTCTTTTATCAGTGTGTGCCTTCATTCACCATACATATGGAAGTCAAATTTAATTTCTTGTTATTTCTCTCTCCACTGTCAGACTCAATTTCTCTTGTGGGCCTGATGTAATGTAATAGATTTATTTGCAGTTCCATTAAAAAATTGTCTATCACACACACACACACACTCAAAGACAACACACACACACTCAAAGACACAGACACAGACACAGACACACCACACAGACACACACACACACACACACACACACACACACACACACACACACACACACACACACACACACACACACACACACACACACACACACACACACACACACTACTCAAAGACACACACACACTACTCAAAGACACACACACACACACACACACACACACACACACACACACTCACACACACACACACTCACACACACACACACACACACACACACACTCACACACACACACAAAGACACACACACACACTCAAAGACACACACACATGCAAATATCAAAGCAAATAATACAGTCCATCTTTTTCACTGAAAGAACTTTGATAATGTAAAAAATACTCATAAAAAAACAAAGGTTGTTAGATCATAAAACATACAAGGCCTTGACCAGATCTGATATGGCCTGTATTAAGAACACTTCCGTCTGGCTTCAATAAATACCAGTAACAAGTTATTACAAGTTTATTTACAAAATCTGTATAAAACAATAGCTGCAAAAGCAACCATACAATTATTCATAAAACTGTTTTAATATAACCGTTACTCCTGTATTAGTTCACATTAAAAATATGAATCCCTCCTCTACAGAGTATAGCTATTATCACAAGTACTTCGGTTAGTACAATAACCTATCAGGAACGGAATGGTACAGAGGATATGACAGCTGGTAAGATTGCAAAGCACAATATTCATGACATGGTCAGTAATCAGTCCTTCAATATTATAAACAGGGATTTCTTTGTTAGTTCCAGAAAAAAAGAAAGATTAATATGGATAACATTTAAAAAAATTAACTTGTTTTACTGATCATGTCACATGTCAAACCGAGTAAATGAAATAGGTGAACTTACATCTCCAGTTCCAACGTACAGGTAATGCAATTTGAATATTCAATTATGTTTACAAAAACGTTCCTTGGTTATGTAGGAAGCCTGTTTTGGGAAGCAGTTTTGGAGAATTGTCTATGCTTGATTGGATTAATTAATATATCATTGTCAATAAAATACATAAAAATTACTGAAGTAATATTTTTAAAAGTTTATATATATATTTATATGTATATATATAAAAGCTGCTCAATTCATGTTAATCAAGTTTAGCAACAAGCATCATTCCAGGTCGTCATGGCAACTACAGGACAAAGCCCACTACGGCAAGATGGGCATCCTGCACTGCCTGGCCACGACACCAACTCTCTCCTATGCTCTTTGCACAAGGACACTTAAGGACACAAGAAACTGCCACCTTAAACAGGAGGGAAGTCTTCCATTTTAAATGCAATCAGTTCTATTAAAATAAATACAATCAATAGTTTCTAAACATTTCACATACGTCACAGTAAGAAAAGAGAAATCTCCAACGACTTTGTGTAAACACAAATCATATTTTAATCTATCGTCCTATGAATAATGAAATAAGGAGTCAGAGATAAAATGAAACATATAAATGAATCTAAAATACCAAAATGTAGTACCAATAATGATACAATAAAATGCAAAAAATGCATTACATATTTCCTATTTCTAACATGGACTAGTCAGTCATTCAGCCCAATCTGTGACTGGTTAGTTACCAAGAATCTTCACAGGCAGCTTGACACCTTACCTGAAGAATCTAACCCTGTCAGTTCACACTGGAAAAAATATAAACATTCTGTGGAACACATTTTGGAAATTATTTACAATGACCACTTTTTTTTTTTTATTTACAGTACTTATTTACAGTCACTGTTTTACACAGGCGACTTCTAAGTACTAGCAGACTGATCCATCTGCTGGCATGAGTCGCGCAGTTCAGAGTAGCACCAATAGCCTTGAGAATCTAAATAATCAAGGGAGACATCTTGTCACTTGTTCGCAGACAAACTTCTATCATCTCCAGTGCTATTGACTAAAGTATAATGCATCTATACCACACACTTGTCTAGATTTTCTCTTTTGGAAACTTTGATAGAAATTGGCACTTTGCCCAAGGAAATCAAAATTCAGGTTCACTTCAGAAAATATCTGGAACCTTTTTCTATGTCCTCTTGTGAATCATTGAAAACCTTGGATTTTAGGCACACTGGAAGATATACATAACACTTAAAAGGAATCCCTATGTAACCTTAGTCAGCTTACAGGCACTAAGAAATGGCAGCTGTAATTCACAAAAGAATCCACTTTACACATTTCCACAGACACTAATGAGAATACCATTGTCCTAAAATATCCTTTTCTTTTCCATTTTCCAGTCATTTTCCTAAAAGTTCTTTTTAGACACAACTATACACCTTTCCTTGGTTTAAACTATTTGTGCGCTTTCACTTGGATTATTTTTTTCTTTAGAGTTTTGTTTTTTAATCTAGCAATCCATCAAACCTATTTCTTAATTTTGTCGTCATTCTCAAACTCCGAGTTGACTTCTGAGTCCTCAATATCACAGACATTGTCCAGGTCAGATGCAGATGTATTGGATGCTGCACCACCCCACAAGGAGGCTCCTTCCTCTTCGTCTTCCATGCCAGAAATCACGGATATATCTGCTCCAAATTCACTAAATCGTTTAACGGTGTCATGCCTGCGATTGCTCCGAATTCTGTAAGGAGAGTATGTGGCACCATCGCGGTCTTCTGGGAGATGGTTGATTGGTGGAGGCCTGTAGACTACACTGTAGGGATCATCAAGTGTGTTCAGCAACTTCCCCCTCTCGTCATCTGTTTCTGTTTCACTTCCCACTTGGTAACGTGGGAGATACTGGTTTGGGTGAGTTTCATATCTGGAAAAGGAGAGTGATTTTAAATGATAGTAATTATTTGAAACTTACTTTGCCCCACTATACTGTTAGAATAATAAAATTTCAATAAAATATATTTATATACATCTATCAACCTTAAAATCTGTGCAGCTGTGAGTTTTCAATTCCAATTAGTTAGGTCAATTCTTGACAATGAATTAAATAAAACTCCTTCCTCTGTCTTTTCCTCCTCTCATAAATTTAACAATAAAAAAATTACAAGTTCTCAAACATTACAATATTTATCTAAATCTTACAAATTCAAGACAGGGCTAAGTAAATGTTCATCTGGCTTATATGAAGTCCAAAGCTAACCTACTATACCTTTGAGGTTGGGGAATGAAGAGTGAGGTGTCAGACTCGGCCCCTGCGTCAGAATTGGGGTCGAGCAACTGTGAGGTATCTAGGTCAGGTCGGGACTCAAGCTCGAATTCAGTACCACACTCACTTACAAGCTCATCTGCCGGCAAGGTCTCCATGTCTCTACCAGGGTCTACTGGGCCCTCCACTGCAATTCAAAATTGGTAATGAGTTTCTCTCCATGGGATCTCAAAAGGGAAATCTTCCCTGATTCTTACTTAATCTACAGTACCACATTTACCATGCATTGTGTATACTCCGGCTGATGTACTTTGAAGTTCAGTACCGGACATATTACTGACTTATTATTATTTTTGCCTTTATATTTTAAAAAAATTATTTACATATTGAATTGAGTGCCTTAACTGTCTGATAAAAAAAAAAAAATTAATAACCAAATGCTGTTAAATGATGAGAAAGATCTGAAAGACAATGAATAATTTCTGAGATGAAGATTATATAGCTAACTCCTTGCAGCTGGACCCCTTAATATTACTTCCACATCTAGCAGCTACCACTTTATCCATACTAATCCAACCCCACACAGTAAAGTGGTGGTGTGCAACTATTCGGAACAAAGGACTGCTAATCAGGACTTGTGCTTTGGAAGACCACGCATCCATACTACATCATGCTAGTTACCAGTACCTATTGCATGAAATTACATATAGAAGTAATTGTGTAAATGGATATACTTTAAAAACTCATCAGCTAAAACTATCTAAAGATGAGAAACAAAGGATTTGCTGGCTACTAACTTTGCTGTCTTGGATCTACTGTCCTACACCTAAACTTCCTGACTGATATATGGAGGCATCTCTCTCCCTCTCTCTCTCTTTCTCTCTCTGAATGGAGGTTTTAGGAATTTTGGATTAATGTCAGGTATATTTACGACTTAGTCTTCATTCTTTAGCTTCTGCCCAAGTGCTGAATTATAGGCTAATCATTTCTATTTGCACTGAAAGACTTGGAGGGCTGTAGGCTGCAAAGGACAGCCACATGGTAAATGACAGAGACAAATGTTTTGATCTTTCTTTATAATTACCAGCTACTTCTATATGGCAAAACATTGTTTCCGAAAATGCACATTTATCAAAAAAATATTTATTTGTGGGTGTTGCATGGCAACCTTAGCAAGGGTGTAAAATCATGACATCTTTTCCCGTGAAAATATTCTTTCTCTTGCAAATCTCTCTCACCAACTGTCATCATGAACCAAGTTAATTAAACAAAGATGCTTTTAAAATCAATGTAGTATATCTTACCTGAAAAAATAACACTGTAAAAACAAAAGTGGGGGAAAAAAAGAAGATAAAAAAAACAAAAATAAAAAAAAGTGGGATATTCTTCACCATCTAACAAGCCTACCTGGGGGCATCAAAGGCTGATTTTCTGCTGGCTTCACTACTATAGACTCGTTAGACTCATTGGAATGGTATGAGGAGGAATCTCTCACTTCTCCTCCGGGAACTTCCATGATGTTGGGAAGTGGGTTCTGGGAGGGTCGCGCCCAATCCGAGCAATCCCAATGGTAGCCTGCCACCACGTGGACACCGGGACACAGGTTAGTCACAACACAAGTCACAGAAGAAAGGAGAAAAAGAAAATTGGCCCTCATTCTTTGGCATCATGTCCAGGCTGTATTTATGATGGTTATCGTCTAAATTATTTTTTTTTTGGGGGGGGGAGCATTTCAACTTTTAAAATCTTAATTTTAACCTCGAATGGGCATATCGAATTGCTGCTTTACTAGACTAATGAGGACCAATTAAGCACAAACAAGTGTCTGCTTCCAACATGCACAGAACAGTAATAGTTTAGTTGGATTCCTCGCATTTTAGGTGGCAACAGCAGACACATATCATTTGTCAATACTTTTACAGGAATCATAACGCTGCCGGAAGAAAGCCATTTTCTTTTTCTTTTCTTACATCTACATACAGCACAGATGCATATACCCGTGTGCTGTCGAGATCTAAAGCACAGCAGAAGCAAATGGATCATAACACTTTCACCCTCACACTTACAGCATCTGTCACCCTTTCTTTGAAGCTAATTCCTTGCGAGGATGATTCTAATCTGGCATCCTGTCGTCTTGTGCACAATGTATATACAAGTATGAATAAGTACAGGTCACTTTACAACAGGATTTCAGGAGGAATTTAATAATCCATCATTCTTTTAGTGATGATGGTGTCAAAGCAAGTACAAGGAGATGTGGAAATATTTAACATGATGTCCCAAATACAAAATAAGATGACACAGAAGATAATTTACAGAATCCAGTACTGTTTACAAGGGGGTTAAGTATTTAAAGACAGATTCAGTATACACTTGTAGAGAACTGTATCAACAAAAGGGGGTATTTTAAATTCAGTGTTAAAAGGTAAGAGGAACTATGAGTTCAATATGGCCAGTCTGTCAATGTGAGATAGAATGCCTAATAAAAAAGAAGAGAATAGAAAAAAACCCTCTCAATATAATGTATGTAACGTGAAACTAAAAAGAATAAAATCCTATTCCCAGTTTTTTAACTCATATAATGAACTCACAGATTTTCTGTACACCTCTAGCATAACATCTGAATTACAGGTCTTATTTTAAATCTCTATGGTCAAGTGTCCTCAATAAGGAGACTAATTGGGTTTAAGACTAAATAAGGATACTTGTGTAAGCTTTTTCTTGTAAACTTCCTAAATGCCTATTTTCAATTACTTCTAACAATGTAAAAAAAGATTTAAAAATGGAACATAAAATAAGTTTTAACCCCAAAATATTATTGAGGAGAAACGTTGATGTTATCAGTTATTTTGAACTAAAAAAGAATCATGCCACACAGAACATTTTAATTTAAGAGCAGCTTGCAAAGAATGAATGAATACTGTACATATGATAACTTAAAAAAATAGATTAATAAATAAAATAAAATAAAGACACTGCAGATTACTTATTTACTGATGAAGACACCTTACTTATTACTCGTAAATCCATACCCTGTTTATTTAAGGAAGTCCCATACATCATTTACAGATCTATACAGTGACAAAGGTGACAGAATCCTCAAGTTAGAGGTGGGTAATGTAAGTGTTATGATCTTCAATATAACAAGAACTGTAATGTTCTCCTCCCACTCCTAGAGTGAACAAGGTAAATTTATAGGTACTTCTGCTCATTTTACCTAAGACTAATAACAACATCTTAAAATTAAAGAAGTGCTAGTGTAAAAAATAATATAAAAAGCACATACAAGCAAGCGCAAACATGCTACTCAGTCTGCAACATATGCTAAGACACATTTATAATATGCATGATGCACTAAGAACAATGTTTAAGATCATGCTACAATTTTGGGCTTTTATAAACATTCTGAACTTGACCAACAGAACAGAGAGAGAGAGAGAGAGATGACGACAAGGGGAGGACGTCGAAACTCACCTGGCAGATCGTCCATTGAGGCCCCAGACCGCACACTAGCATCATCCCTGGTGCTGCCATCTACACTTAGTTTCTTGAGGCTCATGTACTCACCCTGACGGAACTTTACATCTGGCAAGAACAAGACAGCAGCTGGCATGATTCTCCCCATCAACAAAAGGTATTTAGGCCAAAGGCATTTTTACTTTATATATTTTCCTGCCACTGTGAAACCTGGATATTTTTACTTTATTTATTTATCTGCCACTGTGGTACCTGGACATTTTTACTTTATATATCTATCTGCCATTGTGGAACCTATGCATTTTTACTCTAGATATTTTCTTGCCATAATGGAACAGTGACTTTTTTACTTTAAATTTCCCTGCCTTATGAAGTAAAAACAAAAAAACAGAAACCAAAAAAATAACTTGAACCCTAAGATCATACAAAACTAAGAGCAAAAGCAAAAAAAGTATTTAAGAAAAAATTATGTAAAGACTTGGGGAACACATTAGAGAAAATTTACTGCCAGTTTTCAATTGCAAAGAATTTAAGGATTGAGAGGATGATCTCATTAGAGAATGAAGACGTGCACAATACAAACCATTTTGGATCTTGTTATTCTCATAGTAGGTGTCCTTCAGATTATGTGCAAGTGCATCCTTCCACGGTTTATGCAAACTGTCTGTATCTGCTGCCAAAGTGGATCCCGGTGACCCCAGGGTGGAGCCCATGGTGGAGCCCAGGGTGGAGCCCCGGGGGGTCCCAAGAGGATTAATCTGGGGGGTGTGGAGGTGGTGGTGATGGTGGAGGCTGTTGGGCTTGGATATGTTTTGAACAAAGTCCCGGGAGTACTGTGGAAGGTTCTCTAGCTCATCCCCAGCTGAGCCGTAGCTACGGATGGTGTCAAAGTTGTTTAGCGGCATGTACGCAGGTTCACTAGGACTAGTGGGGTAGGAGTCGGGGCGAGGCGTGCAACCGTGCGGATTCTGCAACACATACAAGCCAACACAACAGTAAGGCGCAGCCAACACAACAATCATGACCTGACGGGGCTGCTTTGGGAGGAAGTGCGGTACTTCATCAAAATACAGACTTTTATGCCAAGACATGAGCAGGGCCGTTTAAATATGCTCGGGGGATTATAGTATTGTATTCAACCCCTTCAATTCCTTTATTTATGATTAGGAGGCTACATTTTGATGATTTACCTCTGTTAGTTCAGACACTATTACACAAAGTTTGTGGAAAAAAATGTCTCAAAACTTATTGATGAAATGCATGTGTAAAATAATCTTGAAGCCTATGGCACATGCAAAGCCTCTATCAAATAATCATAAAAAGCTAAAGTGGCAATCTGGTGATGTAAGCAAATTCTAGATGTGATTTCTACATCTGCAAATTTAAGTGGAGTTTTAAAAGATTGCACAAAGGTACCAAAATACAAAAAGCAAAAATAAAAATGAGTATCATCATATACTCTTTACATATAAGGGTTATAACTAGCTTAAAACATCACCTTCAGTGCATTAAAATTTAACGAAACATTTTAGTTTGATAATTACCTAATGAAATCCACACAGTTATGAACACACAAATACAGGCACACAGCAAATATTTTTGTAAAGTGCTAATGAATGTAGTAAAGGTAGAAAAAAACAACAAATTCCGGTATATTTACCTGTGAGGCTTCCAGATTGCTCATCTTAGAATTTCTCTTGTAGATGTTATGATTGTCTGTATTTTTTGGTTTCAGGATAACGTGGTTTGTCTGCTCTATCAACTGTCTTCGGCGAGCAGCTCTTCTCTCTCGGCAGTGCATTGCCAAGACAATGATCAGGCCAAGAATGATGACTGATACTATGCCAATGACTATATAGATGATCTGTAATGAAAGATGTGAATTAGTACATGGAGACATTTGTTCTGAAATACATGAACTAAATGCAGAATTTTTGCTTTTGAAGACATTTTTTCTGAAATTCAAGAACTGTATGCAGAATTTTTGCTCCGTGTCCAAAGGTTTGCTTCACATATGTCCCTAATTGTAAACCTACCTCTTCCATTCCAATATCAATCAGTGTTCCTCTGACAGCATCACAGTAAGTCCCTGTAGCGTTTCCTGGACACATGCATCGGAAGCTCCCATATGTGTTGATGCAACTGCCGCCATTCAGACAAGGGTTCTTGGCACATTCATTGATGTCGATATTACAGTAGGCTCCTGTGAACCCACGGCACTTGCATATTGGGCCAGAAATACCCTCCTCACACGTTCCTCTGTTCAGACAAGGATTAGGATTGCAATACATGTACTGGCAGCGAGGGCCTGACACACGAGCTGGACATTCACATCTGTAAGTGTTTTCAATGTTGACGCAGTGGCCATTGTTTAAACAAGGTGAGGAAGCACAAGGATTGGAGTCCAGCTCGCAACGTGACCCGAGGAAACGAGGATGGCACTGGCAGATGAAGGATGCACCGCGTTCCTCACAGGTGCCCCCATTGAGACAGGGATGAGCACCACAAACACCTGGAGGCTGTAATTCTGACTGGCAGTGCTGCACCACATGGGCCAGGCGGGTGAGAAGTGCCACCTTTGTGGTTGCCTGATGAGTCAGAGGTAAGGGGGTATCATCCACTCTTGGGTCATCTATGCAGCCAACCATCCCTTGCCGTGGGTCCTGAGCTCCTGCCCACGGTCTCACTTCTGCTCCAAGGTACAGGTGTGGGGTTTCAAGGTTGAGAAGGTCGGATGAACCAGGGGAGTCTCCTTGCTCCCTGAACTGGCCATCAACTGTCACTTCAGCTCTGTTGCCAAATCTCTCCAGACCTACGTGGTGCCACTGCCCGTCATCCACACGAACAGACGACACAGTCACAAGGCCTTCCCCACTTCCCAAGTCCCATCTGTACCTGACTTCTCCTTCCTCAAGCTGTAAAGATGAGAAAAATATTAATGTGAGAAATATATTCAGACCAGACAATATCCATCACTAAACCCTATTTCAACTTAATAAAATCAACATTACTTGAATGATCACTGAAAAACGAGTAAATCCAAATTACCTCCAGGATGCTATAATCAATTCTTCCAGCGGTGAACATCAAATTCCCAGATGGATGCAGTGTGCGGAACCAGAGTGAGAAGGAGAAGTGTCGCTCAATCGGGTTCCTGAGGGAGTACTGCGTGTAGCTTTTGCCTCGGAATGACAAGGGGGACACAGGAGAGTAACATTCTGGGTTGGTGTCTCTCCCTATGCAGCTGGTCTTGTTCAAGCTGCACGTGGCCCCGACCAAACCTTCTGGACAAACACATATATATCCAAGTCTTGAACTATCTGGTTCACATATCTTGAACGAGGGGCATGGGTTGTGTGCACACTCGTTGATGACAATCTCACAGCGGACACCCGAGAAGCCAATGGGGCAGACACACTTGGATTCATGGCGGTGGTGCAGAGATACATAGCTCTTAGTATCTGTTACAATGGCAACCTGACTGTCATCCAGCACCACTTGTTCTCTGCACTCACCGTTCTCGCAGGTATCATCTGTGCACTCGTCTTCCACGACACCTATCACCTGCAGTCCAAGCACCGATTCCAGTGTCTGCTGACCAGAGGCAACCTTTTTACGAACCAGGCTCCTTGGGTAGAAAGCACCTCCATTCTTCCTCACAGCAAATAAGACATCAAGATCAGCTTCAGTTCCATATTTTCCTTTATCCACTTTCTTCTTGCCATCTCGTCTTGTTCTTGAGTGGCTGTTTTGGAGACTGAGGATGATCACGTCTCTGGACTTCACATTCATAAGATTCTTGATCCCTCTGTGAAAACTGCGTTTGTAGGACAGAAGGAACTCCTCTGCAGTTGCCCCTCCCAGCTGCACAATGACAGCATTCTCTACCATTTCATCACTAATATTGATAACATCAGTCTCTGCTTGACCAATGGTTGTGAACTTTCCATCTGTTACTGAAATGTTGACGGTGTAGGATCCCTCATCCAAACCACCCACAGAGGACAGAGTGCCATCACGGGGGTCAATGGAGAAGTACCTAGAGGTTCCTCCGTTGTGGCTGGAGATAACAGAATACGTGAGTGTGTCATATGGGTCCTCATCTGCAGCTTTGATTTTGCCAAGGACACCACCGAAGTAGTCTCCTGTGTGTACAAATACTGTCACGTAGAGAGGGAGCACCATCGGAGGGTAGCGAGACTCTTCAATGATCTGCAGAGGGAAATTTCAAAATTAATTTAACATATACCTCTAGACATTAAAGAATGCATATCAATCAAACATCAAAACCAAAAATATTAACGGAAGCACACTAACCTTGACGTCAATCCATGTCTCAGCAAAGAGTGGGGGACGCCCATTATCATACACCCTTATGAGCAAATGGTAATCTGCCTTGACCATGTGGTTGAACTTCGTAGCGGTTCGCAGGTGTCCATCCTGAGTCATTCGGAATTCGTTGTTTTCATTCCCATTCCGAATCTCAAAGGTAAATGGCCTACCATTGCCAGAGGCTTCGTCGTCATTGTCAATGATGTCGAACTTGAAGACCAGATGGTTGACTGGCTTGTCCTCCTGTGAATGATTTAAAAGCAAGAATTAGTCTAACATTATCAAAGACAGATGGACAAGACAATATAGACAAACACACACAAGCATGAACACATTCACCTCCCACCCCCCGGCCTCACACACACACTTTCTCCTATTCACTCCCTCTCGACAACACAAAGTCTCACCTGAACATAAGCAGTATGGTTGGTCTCGACAAACACAGGAGGATTGTCATTGGCGTCGCTGACCTCGATGTTCAGCATGACCGACCCGGACCGCTGAGGAATGCCATGGTCCAGGGCAATCACCTCTAAATTGTAGGATGAGACAGTCTCCCTGTCGAGTGGTCCAGCTACAGAGACATGCCCCGACTGAGGGTCGATCTGGAATTGCTTCTTGGGGTCTCCGTTGGCTATGGCATAGCTAATCTTGCCATTGGCTTCACTGTCCAAGTCTGTTGCTATGACCTGTAAGGCAAAATGAGTGATCTTTATGTCTTGTTTAATCTTCATTTTAATTAAATATTGGTAAATTCCTTCTGAAATTACTCTTTATATTAAATACATGTAATTTTCTTTAAACTGGTAAAAACTGTTGAGTTTTCATGCTTCATCTATGAATATGTGAACGTGTAATAAAGATGTATCATAATTTCTATTTCTTTCCCTCTCCATCCATTTCATTCTTGGTAGAATTACTGGACATAAGGGTCTTAATTCCCCAATCGTTACTTTTCGTTTCAAAATCTAAATCAAATTTCCAATCGTTCTTGGTAGAATTAATTCCACAAACTTTACTTTTCGTTTCAAAATCTAAATCAAATTTCCAAATTTAGAAAAAGACACTTCAACCCGAGTCTCCATACCTGGATGAGTCTCTCTCGATTCAGAGCAGCCTCGTTGACTATGGCAGAGTAAGAGTTCTGGAGGAATATGGGCGCATTGTCATTGATGTCTGTGATGGTGACGTTGACAGTAGCATGGTTGGACAGAGGGGGTTCTCCGCCGTCTGTAGCCTGAACAGTTAGCTGGTAGTTGTGGGCTCGCTCGTAGTCTAGAGGGTCCAGCACTGATACAACGCCTGTCAAAAGATAAGGTTTCATTTAGGAATCATCATGAATTAGTTGTAGGTTGTGTCAAAAGATGTGGTTGTATTTTGGAGTTAATATTCATATGATGAATGATTTGCAGGTAATGAAGTCTAAAATACATTTATTTTAACTGTGTCTCTCCTCGTAGTCAAAATTAAATGCAAATGAAAATCACCTGTCTTGGGGTTGATGGCGAACTTGCGGTGTTCGTTGCCACCAATGATAGAGTAAGTTATTTCTGCGTTCTTTCCCGAATCACGTGACGTGGCCAAGACTCTGACGATATCAGAGCCTATACTTGCACTCTCCGTCACTGTTGTGTAGTATGTGTGACTTGCAAACTCTGGGGGATTGTCATTCATATCTGGAAGATAAACATATAAAAGTTGAAGTAAACGACAATACGAAGTGGTTATGAAAATATACATTGAACAAGCTTTTATTTGATATCATTGCAAGTCCCATGATACTACATTTTATGTCATCATCTCATAACACATTGTGAGTCTCATGATGTTACATTTTATTATATTGTTACTGTTGTTATTTTTAATACTATATGGTATTTTATACATGTACATTCACAAGCCACCCCTTTATCCATACTCATCCTTTATCCAATGTGAGATGATGAATGCATACGAACATTTTCAATCTTTCTTTAATCATTGCTGACTATTTTCCTAGGGCAAACCACAGTGATTTGAAATTTGGATTTACTCATATTCTCATTTCTGGGCGCTGTCCTCTTACAAAAGCCTGCCTGTGATCAATTAACACCGATACCCAGATTTGACTTACCTGAAACTAGCACAAGGATGTTTGTTCTGGAGGACAGCTGTGGTGTACCGTGGTCCTTGGCAATGACAGTGAGGTTGTACATCGCCTGTTTTTCTCTGTCTAAGCTCTGGGTTACGCTCAAGATTCCTGTCTGGCGATCCATCAAAAATATATCGTTCCCCTCTAAGCCGTAGGTCACTTTCCTGTTCATTCCTGTGATAAGAAATAATGTTTGTAAAATGGGTAAATACATGTGTATATATATTTTTTATATGAGGTTGTTATGAGGTAATTTGGCAACTCTTATTTTTTCAGCCATTTCAAAAGTGATTGGAATATGTACCTTTATCAGGATCCGCTGCGTGGATCTTCAACAAGAGCAGGTTCTCAGGGGAATTTTCAGGTACGTTAATACTGTAACTTGGCATACTGAACACGGGAGCATTGTCATTCACATCCGTTATCTCAATCTCCACCTGACACGTGCACTGCCACTCCTCGTTGTTGCCATCCTTAACTATAGCCTTCAAGGAGAACTGGGACTGCGTTTCCCTGTCCAGCTGTTTCGAAACTGTCAACTGCCCCGTCTCCTGGTCCATGGTGAAGCTTCCCGCCCCCTGCCCCGTGACGTAGAACTGGGGTTGGGATGTGAGGTCCTTGTCTGTGGCGGTCACTCTCAGCAGGTAGGTGCCGGGGAGAGCTGCCTCGCTGATGGTGTGGCGGTACAGGGGCGTCGTGCACATGGGACCATTGTCTGGAAGAAAAAAGTTCGCGTAAGGAAATATAGATGGACATGTATATACACACATTCGTATATGTAATTCCTTCAACTATACGAAAGCATCTCTATGAATCAGCAGAAAAAGATGATTTAGAAAATACAGTAATATAAAAAAGAAACAATCCCTCCCACACTCACCATTGACGTCCAGAATCTCGATGAAGACCCAGGCTTTAGCGACGAACACCCCGTCGGTAGCGGTCACCTCCAGGGCGTACTGGTCGACCACTTCCCGATCTAGCTTCTTGGCCACGTAGATCTGGCCGCCGCTCCTGACGTGGAAGTGCTGGAGGGCGTTGCCGGCGGTGAGGTAGTAGATGATGCCCTGGTCCACCTCCCCGTCCAGCGCCCCTCCACCCAGGTCGTAGTCCTGCACCTCGAGCTGCACGACCACGGTGCCTGGCAGAGCATCCTCGCGCACTGGGGAAAAGGATGGACGATAGAAATTAAAACCTGTGGATCTTATAGAGCATGTAAAAAACAATAGGCAAAGAAATTGCACATTAAAGATAAACAACTTTTGAGATTAAAAACAAACAAGACAAATCCAAATACCGAATCACTTCCCTAATACACTCAACCTCCAAAAACAAATTGCTGACGACCCCCCCCCCCAAAAAAAAAAAAATTCCCTTCATCTCACCTGCTGACCGATATTCTTCTTTCACAAACTGGGGAGGATTGTCGTTATAATCTATGACGTCAATCATTATGGTCGCCGTTGAACTGCGCTGAGGACTCCCGTTATCCTTGGCAATTACCTGAAATAAAGAAATAAAATGTTATCTAACAACCATTGTACCAAGCTTACAGGAGACAAAACACCAAGAAAAGTATATACACATATACATCGATAGATAAATAAAGAAACGAATATAGAAACAAACAAAAAATACATAAATAAAACAATCAGAAAAAATCACACAAGAAAATCAAACAAACGAACAAAACATCCAAAAAATAAAGAAACACACAAACAAAAGTGAACAAGTATCACACAAATGACACAAATATACAATAGGAGAATCCCACCGACCTTGAGCTCATATTTGGACTTGGTCTCAGCGTCGAGCTCTTGGTTGAGGGAGAGCCAGCCCGAGTAAGGGTCGAGGGTGAAGAGAGGCTCCTCCAGTAGGGGCGTCTGTTCCTCCAAGGTGTAGCGAACCTCGGAGTTACTCCCGGTGTCCTCATCTTTGGCGAATACTGCAGGGAAGAATTGGAAAAGAATACATTACTTATCCATATATTAACCACATATACTCTATAAGTACATGAACATTACTTTAATTCATATAGAAGTGTTTATTTATGTGTCAATTAACATACAGATATTCACAATGTCACGCATCTGTATGAGACAGCACACTAACCCATCCATACTTGCAACAACGATACAATCTCTTCTTCTCCTAAGTAATTATCCTACATACACAGTTCTAACCTCTCACTATAATAAGAGATAAATCCACCAAGCTAAAAATCAGATATTACAAGAAAGAGGACCAGCCACACATACCTTTGACAACGTTCGAGCCAGAGGGAGTGTTCTCAGCAACAGACACGTAATAGGTCTCGCTCTCGAACGTTGGTGCCTCGTCATTCACGTCTTGGACCTGTAAGAAAATAAACCCAATACTTTAAGACTTGTTATAGTAAATTTTATTAACTAAACCACGTTTTTTTTTTGGTTCTTGCATATGAAAACGGCAATTTAAACTCCTTAAAAACAGTTCTTTTTCACACTGTAAAAACAGTAGCTTGAACTTTTAATACCATGATTCGTTACTAATAAAATTGCTACACTTAATTTCGCATAATCCAATTTCTCCCAATAGCTTAAAACAACAAACAAACAAAGAAACAGCAATGAAATGTTCATTATTACGACAACAATCCTGAAACGTCGACACTTAGACACCAACCACACGAAACCTCACCTCGATCTCGACGGTGGTGCTAGCTGCGAGTTCTGGCTCAGCGATGGGCACGGCCGTGACTATGAGGGACAAACGCTGTGTTTCTTCGTGGTCGAGGAGTGCCGTGAGGGTCAGAGTGCCACTGGGAGACACAGAGACCGGGGGGGAAACCTCGTGGCCGCCCCAGTCAACCACATACTGCAGTTCGCCATCGTACCGGGCTGCCACGTCGCCTATGCGGGTTCCTGGAGTTGAGGAATGGGTTTAGGATGAAGAATTTCTGGGATTAAGAACAGCGATAGAGGAAACTTCGGGGTCAAGAGGGGGAGAAAAACAGCTAAAATAAACCCTTCTCCGTATTAAAATAACAAAACAAAAAAAACAAGCCTTTCTTTATGTTAAAACGAAAACTTTTCTTGATATCTAATTAAAAAAAATCTTGATATTAATAAAAAAAACGGGAGAAAAAAATCTTGACATTAATTCAAAATCAAACAAAATACGGGAACAAGAGAAAGAAAAAAACTAACCCCAAGATCCGAGAAAATACCATCAAATATCTATAGATCAAAACAAAAACCAACCAACCATATGGGAGTATCTTGAACCATGCCTTGGACTGTGGGGTTTGAAAATGGGATGTGACTTAAAGAAAAATGGGATCTAGACTTAAAAAATGGGATTCTAGACTTAAAGAAAATGGGATTCTAGACTTAAAGAAAATGGGATGCTAGACTTAAAGAAAATGGGATGCTAGACTTAAAGAAAATGGGATTCTAGACTTAAAGAAAATGGGATATCAGACTTTAAAAAAATGTGTTTCCAGACTTTAGGAAAATGGGAATCCAGAATTTAACGATTCTGTTATTTGGGATTCTTCTTCTTTGTCTTGGAAAAAAAACGTACTTAGTCAGAAACGCATCTTCGGTTGGTATTTAAGTACTAATCATTATATCTATACACATTTATCCGTCTATTTATCTATATACTTGCGTCTCTATATGCAGACATTTTTTTATTCACCAAAAAAGTGTCATATAAAATCACTCGAAACATCTACTTATATAAACAAGAAAGACCCAGTACATGCACAGATAGTTCACTGAAAGAGTAATAAGAAAATATATATTCTCTTACCGTCAACACAACAGTGCCAGCAGTGGTGTTGGACCTGACAATGGCCTTGTAATCAGACTGCTTAAATACAGGATTGTTGTCGTTTTCGTCGTCGACTGTGATGTGGAGCGTCGTGAACCCCGTGCGGCCTCCGATGTCCATGGCCATGACGGTGAAGGAGTATTCTTTCCTCTCTTCTCGGTCGAACATCTTCGACGTCCATACTTCTCCTGGAATTATATGATTTTGTAAGAAAAAACAAGAATGTCAGTACAAATGAATCTATTTCTACATTTCTTAGTCATTCTAGATAGGCATTGAAGCTGATATCCGTAGCTTCACTGTATGGGCTTCGAGACTGACCCGTATTCTCATTGATCCTGAAGAAACTGTGGGCTTTGTCCCCGATGAAATGATAGGTCACGTCTCCGTAGCGCCCCGAATCGTCATCTCGGGCCGACACCTGAGCCACCGTGGTCTTGATGGCATTCTCCTGGATCCGGGCGTTGTACTGAGCCACTCTGAAGGTGGGCGAGCGGGCGTTCACGGGGGAGATGGTCACCACGAGCCGGGAGTAGGCTGTGAAGACGCCGTCGGTCACGGAAATGTTGAGGATGTGCTGGTTGCTCTCCTGGAGCTTTTGGTTGTTCCAGACGGTTACGATACCTGTGGGGTGGGGGAAGCGAGGTTCGGTTTTAGTGTAAATCCTAATTTCAACTTCCTAAATTAATGATCACAGTGGAACAATATGGAGTAAACAAAAGAAAGATCATAATGACAAAATGCCTAATGCAATATTCGAAGTACAT